ACTAGGGAAATGGAACGTTGTGTCTCGTGCCGCCAACATTTGATCAAAGCCTCGATAAACACCAGGTACACCTTGAAGCCATATAAAAATAAGGTTAAAAATAGACCGAATTGATGTAGCTATGTCATCATCTGTTAACGCAGCTTTCTGGTTGTCATCCCCCGACTATAAATACCCCATTCATTGTTCGACCCGCATTGGATCGAAGAAACATGGGCATTACCCAATGGCTTCACGGGGTGACGTCTCCCTCACTAGAGCAAAGAAATTTTGAAGCTCGTTAAAACATAATGGAGGAATTCTCATTACTAGAACAGAGGCAACTTGATCCATTGGGTAAATTTCATAAGGAGGTGGAGGTAACTCTACGCTCTTATGGAGACATCTTGATGCTTTTAGAGAGGCTACATGATGTGCAGAGACATCTCTATGTTACATAACCATAACAAAGGAATCTCAACTCTTTTGGCTGGATGAAGAGATAACGAAGGATTCCTTTTAGTTAGAGTTTAGTGGAGGCAACTGGACGCTCTTAACAAAAGATAATACATGTTGACTCAGGCTACACAATGGAGGCATCTCAACGCTATGACTTCATAGCAAATTAATAAAGAGAAAGAAGGCTTTTAGAAGATTCCAATGCTTAAGCAGAGGAATAAAAACTCCGATATTTACGTGTATTAGAGACACTTCACCAATAAAAAATATATTAAGAGGAGGTTTGAGGATATTCTGAAGAGGGAGATTGCTCCCGTGATCGTATGCTATACAATGATTACTAAGTTACATGTATGAAGAGTAGTCAGAAGTTTGTTGTAGGAGATTTTCCTGTCACTATATGCTAGACGTCAATCTCCAAGGTGCGTCTCTTTGTATTGGAAAGCTCCCTTTTGTATCTTTGCTAAGGCCTTTCTATATTACCATTGATGATATGGTAACATCGTAGTGATAAACATCTACGGTAGCAATAATCGTCGCTTCTTGTTCAATATGCTCGACAGATTTCGTACATGATAATTGTAGTATTCCAATTTTTTGAGTCAACGTTCGAGCATTGACGAGGTTACTAATGGATAATTTATTTTTGGGTTTGAGTTTTATTGGGTTTAAGTTAGATGAGTTTTTTGTAAGAAAATAAGAATGTTTCGAAGCTTGTATGAAGTGGGCAAAAGTTAGAGGGCCATTTGTGTGGTATTCCCATTTTTATTTGAATGTCAAATTCCCGGCTCTGTTAAAGTATGTGGCAGGCGTGCATAGGGAATGGGCTTAAGGAATTTTCATGTCCGCCATATCCATTTTAATCTTTTTATTCATTATTTTTTACTACTTTTTCCTACAAGCTTTTTCTCCATTTTTTCTTCTTTCTTCATCAGTCTTCTTCCTTCCATCTTTTCCTCTACTAATCGAGAGAGAGTTTGTGGGAGCTGGATCTGTGGATTTCTTCATCATTTCTTTCTCCCCTCTCAACTCATAAGAAGGTAAGAAGCATACGCTAAATTGCGAAAGCTCTATAGTAAACATTATGTTCTTCAAGTTTTCAAGATAGAGGTAAAAGGGGTGTTGGGACTTGGAAGACGTTTGAGCTTGATGGAAGTCCACACATATCCCCTTCTTAAGTTTTTATTTCCTTTTAAATCTTTATTCAGGCCAGATATCTGTTTTTGTGCATGTATTAAAGAGAGTGGGGGTGTCTTCTAAAGCTAAAGGAAAGAAGAAGGTATGGGAGACGTAGGTCAAGAAGCTCTTTTTGTGTTTTTCCATCAAGGTGGTACATTAACTCTCCTACGCTTCTTGACAAGTCATAAATGCCATCAAAGAAAATGCCATTGGTATTGCAGCTTTGGCTCCATCATGTTTTCTCATTTACTACCTGTTTTTTTCCAAGGCAGCTTACCCAATAAGGGCTAAGAACAAACCCATTAAGCTAAGCGAAGCTTTGTATTCGTGGTTCTTTATATTTAAAGAATGGTTGGACCAAGTAGACATGAATGCCAAGGATGCGGTGAGTGCTTGCCCTTTGCCTACACTGAACATCACATTTTGCGGAATAATTTTTGACCTCGCTGAATATCCCCCGCAACAGTCAACACGAGATAGGTTTTGTTTCATATTGTGGGCATTGGAAAAGGGTTCCCATTCTCACATGGTTTGTGGAATCCATAAAGAACGATGAATACAATGGTTTTGCTTTGAATAAACGATTTTGGGATTAGAAACAAGGCTGCACTTTGTCCATTGTTGTTTGCCCATTCCAGAGACGGAGAAAAGGTAAAAAATAAAAAAGCTATAATGCGGTGAGCGTGGATCGAACACGCGACCTTCAGATCTTCAGTCTGACGCTCTCCCAACTGAGCTATCCCCGCACAGAATATTTCTACGCATGATAGTTATAAATTGTAAGTAACTTGTCCTTGATTTGTTTCCGTTATTACAAGATTTAATACTTTTAGATTAGATGGAGTTTAACCATTTTTCTTTGAAACGAAAAGATTAGCCAATTGTTGTGAAAACAGGATAATGCATGGTTCATACACCTCTTAAGCTATCAATATCTATGAAGTATGAACTATCATGCAAATGTGTAATCTTTGGTTAAACTTCTAGTTATTCCAGCAGTTACTCAGAAATCTTAACATCTTTTTGGGCGTTGTAATAGTAGAAGAAGCATGTATCAAACCCCATAATCTTCAAACTTTGTAAATAGATGTCAATTAACTCTTTCTGATTTTGAGGATCAAGGCATATATTTATTTAAATGTAGTGTATATCTTTTTCCTCATGATATTCAAGAGCAGCTCAGCACCTTCTCGGCCAAAGATTTATTGGTTGTATGGACTTCTTCTACAATCCTCAGAACCCGGCTTATCCTACTTGCATTGCCTGAGCTTGTTTGAGAGCTAGCTGTCATTAATACACCCCCTGTTGTGGGTTGAGTCTGAGCCTGTGCTTAACTTGAACTCATATAACTCGTTTGTGCAGCTGCATTACCGGTAACAACTGATGAAGAATCTGCAATATTTGTTGTTTGGCTTGAACTACTTGAAGCTTCCATGGGCCTGGAACCTGTTGCTAGCCATGCTTGAGATGTACTCGAATCCTACAAATGAAAGCATGCCAGTGAATGAAATAAGGTAGAGTCTATTCATTAGAAGTATGATGATCATACATACTTGAAAAGCATCATTACGCTGTGCAGGAGACGTGCGACCTCCATGTTCAATGGTATTATGCCTCTGAAAGGATGAAAATGAAAGATAAAAGGAACTTTATATGAGAAAAGGTAAGAGGTGAGCTACACCAAGGAAATACCCAAATTTAAACGCCCCAGGAAGTTACCTTTAGTTCAGCTACAGACCAAAAGACAATAAACATTTTGGCAAGGCAAGCCTCATGCTCACATAGGTAATGATCTTGGCGAAAATGAATCTGTAGCAGACATTTTTCAGGATTCCATTTAACCATAAAACTAAAACAAAAGTACAAAAAAAGAGAGAAGAAACATAGAACTCATATTGCCTTGAGGTTGTCGTATTTCCTGTAATATTTATGATGTCCTGGATGCAGCCTGCATTGAAAATGGACGTGAAATAATAAGTTCACTTATTAACAGGGTTTCAAAAAAAGATCCGCTACCACGATTTCGGCCGCGATATAGCGGTTTCGCCGCCGTCCGAGTTACCCGCGACGACCGCAATAGCTCCCGGCCTCAATCACGGTAAATCTGAAATAACCGAAAACGCGACAGCGACCGCGACTTGAAACCCTGCTTATACTTGTGTTGGCTACCAGGAATACCTCAGTACCTTTGGCATATATGACATGTATTATGCTCTGTGGACTGGTGGAGGTATAACTCACTTTCCCCATAGAATGGGGTCTTGCAGAACCCACACTTTGGATGCCCCATGAATCCACCTCTCTCTCACTCGGTTCCATCCACCTCAGAGTTACCGGTGTTTATATGTCGGTTCAGTTGTGCCCCAGAAAACAGCTTTTGTTCAGAAATGAACACCTACGATTACATCGCTCAAAGGAAACCGGTGAGCAAATCAATGCTTCCAAACATCAATTACATAATGTCAGACAAATCAACCTTACCTTCCGTCCTTGCAAACACAGGCTGCACATAACCAGTCTGTGCATGTGAAACAAATGACCTTTCAAATGTTCGATGTTCCTAAAGTTCCCCCGCCGTTTCACCCTATCCTGGGACCGATCACATACATTACACGAAAGCCTGCTCATTGCCTTGATCACTTTGTAGTAATCGACATCATTGAAAAAGGCCTGCGTATCATCGTGGTGCCAGTATGAACCTGTCCGTCCTACTCGTGCTTGAGACGGAAATAGAGACAAGTCATTGATGTTCCTCGTGTAATCCCCTAAAGCCTGAACCACAAGAGACTTCGTGATCATCATTCTCGCATAAAGAATCAAGGAATAGCTAATTAAACAGAAAGAAGTAAGCTCTGAGTATAACCTTCGTAACGAAGATGACATTGGATTCAGTCTTGCAGATGCAGCAGCAGCGATCGTTGCAGAGGAAGCGGAGACGAGAAACGCACGTGGAACACACGTCCCGATGACCGTAGGCAACCCACTCTAAATTGTCAGCACACACTGCGCAGCTATCGTGCATTTCTGCTTCTTGATTATGTTCTTGGAAGCACACTTGGATAATACCGTGAAGAAAAGAGAGAAAATAGAAAACACCAGGCTTTGTTTTTGCAAATAGAGAAAAAAATTCAGCTCTATTAAGGGGAAGAAGAAGAAGAAGAAGAAAACGTAATAAGTTGAATACGTTTGAGTAGCTAGATTTAGTTATAACAAGGCTTAGTTTCGCTTCCTTTTAAAGATGTAACAAATCATTCAGATTTATTAAGGGAAATGAATGTAATATAATAACATTTTTATTAAGAGAAGTTAATCTGTTGGACTTGGTACAATCGTATGAGGAAATTATATATCAAACAAGAGATGGTCCAAAAAATAAAGAATTTGTACAATATCCCCTTCTCCATATACAAAGAAAGAAACTAGTACGATCTCACAAAAGCACGAGGGAACAATTTTGGGAGGATTGAATTTTTAGCTTTTACAATAAGTGCATACATGCCATAGCAGGGGATATGGACCAGAGCAAGGGCAAAGTACCTGCAAATGGCCATTCATTAGATTCTTTCATAAACAGGGAGAGAAAACTTAATTGAACTGTTTAGCTTCCCACATTACCATAAAGGAGCCCATGGCGTATTAAGCTCGAGGAAAGGATACGGCCACCTGCGAAAGTAGCAGCATCCGTTAGGTTTTGAACGCCAAACTTAGCGAAACAAATCAAGAAAAGGCCCATACTTACCATGTAAAACCGCTGGCATGAAGAACCCATTGGAAAACAACATACAGACAGCTCCACTGAACAAAATATGTAAGACGGAACCAAGGAAATGGCTAGCAAAAAAGAGACGAGATTTGTTTAATTCTTCCAGGTCCCCTGACTATACTGAATTTATTGGAATGCTGCAATACTTACAAGGCTATTGAGAAGGGTATCCAGGATAAGAGAAACAGCGTTCAAAGAATGCATGGAACCCATTAACTGTCAAGGAAGAAATAAACAAAAAGCTTGCGATCAAATTAAGACTTTTCCATAAATGTAGCATGGATAATCTATATGAAGTTTAATCTCATTCTCACCATGTTAAGGCCAAGACTAGACTTCGATAAGAACGGAACAAGAACACACCAAAATACGATGTCTGTAAGAATGACAGCACCTGCACAAGTCTGCAGTGAAGCAAACCAAGGAATCAGTTGCTTGTATTGAAACACAAGTCATGGAAGCGTTGTCTGTAGAAATTATAAGCTATTAGACTGACCTGATATATAGTTTGCATAAGCACTTTGCTGAAACTCATCCTGAGCATAGCGACCCTGCAACTTGATTTTGTCCATCGAATCGTTTTCCCCAACAGTCAGAGTTTTCAGTTACGTTCTCTTCCACATCCCCTCTCAGAAAAACGTCCCTATCACCATTTTCAGGGAGAGGTGTATTTAAGCACACCCAACATCCATAAGCAGAAAAGACGGTTCCCAGCTACATAATGAAAGTGTATTCGACACGATTAATGAAGGTGCCACCTCACTACAAGAAAATTGGACTCAAGTTCTTTAATCCTTACGTACCGCAAAATAGATCATAACCAATGCAAATGTCCACCTGCAGATTTGTTGCATTACCAGATTAGCAATCACAGGCGCTTATTTCTTTACTAAAGGAAACGAAATTTGTGAGCATATAGCATTCTTAGAAGAACAAACATGAGGGGTAGTTTGGAGATGATCTTACTGAGTGTAGAAATAGAAAGCAAAAGCTCCTCCCTCTAAGACAACAACCTCAAACAGTATCCGAGACATGCATATGAAAGCAAAAGCTCTATAAAATAGAAGCCAGCAGGGATTGAGTTTTCTCCACTGTGGCTTCCATAAATCATTGAGAAATAAAGGGTCTGTTTTAACTTTGCTGATGACATGTAAAGCTAAAACAGATGGAGCGACGATGATCAGTGCACAAACCGGAACTTGCCATCTAAGCCAGTACCCGAATCCTTCATCGTTCGAATTCATCATTTCTCATTAAGGAGGTGAAGAATTGAGACTCGGAAATAAGTTGGGAATATGGAAAAGTAATTGGAGTTTGGTGTTCAATGTTTTCCCATATCTCTCTCAGACAAAGAAGATTATATGTTTGGTTGATGGTCATTGGTCAAAGGCAGCGATGGCAGGTAGCTTTAATTTATGACAGTTGACTTTGGGACTTTATTAGTTTGCTTCGAGAAATCAATAAAGGCCGGGTTCACTTCTTTCAGATTATATGGCCCATGCAATTGGACTGTAGGAAGAGGAAAACACAGAACTTGGACAAGCATGGAAAAGAAAACAAATACGCTATCAGTTGCGTATAAAATCAACGTAAAGGAACTTACTCGGTGTAGTAAACAAAAATGGAAGCATCCCATTGGACTGTGTCCCACGACAAGAATGTGGCCATGATTACAAAAGAAGCAAAACGAATCACCACTAGCCACCCAGAGTCCACCGCTTTACAACAACTGGTCCATAGCTGGTTGGAGCCAACGTGAGCCCTTGGTGTGGCACGTACGAAACCATTGGCATCTGATAGAACCGCTATCAGACTCTCGTATACAGTATCGTCCTCGCATCTAGATCCAGCCTGCCCGTCTACATAGATTGAGAAATATATAAAAAAAAATCCTAATAAATAACATTGTAGTATGAGTTTTACATCGATTAGAAATACCCCGATTGAAATGTCACATAGTGGAAAATTGATTGAATGAAACTGCCTCCACATGGTCACATTTTGTGGGTGCTGACCTCTGTGTTCATATATCTTCAAATGGATTAACGGACTTTCAAACGTGATTCTGATGGCTTTGAACTGTACCCTAATATTTATAATCTCCAAAGGAACGAATTTTTAAAATTAAAAATAAAATACAGAAGATGCGCCAGTAAAACTAAAAATACAAAGGCATGCATCTTTGTCAATTCCAGGCGACATGGGCTGTTGGAATCTAGTTAATTATAATATAGAGTGTTTATAAGGTAATATGTGTTCAAAATATTTCTTAATAATTAATTAACACACAAGGACGGAGTTAGAATTTTAGTTCAAGGATAATAATGTATAGTTAACAATAAAAAATGGGAGGGTCGGAATAAAAATAAATTAAACTTAAAGGTCTAAATACGTATTTTATATCTATATATTTTTTAATAATAAAAATATGGTTGGGGGACAGTGGCCCTGAAACTACACATAATTCCATGATTAAATACACATATCTTACGGATACAACTACTTAAACTTGATATCTATAAAAATAACAACACTCTTTTACTATTGAGATTTCTTGATGAGTTTACTATATTTTTTTTATTTCTTTTTTTCAATAGGTTACTTCTTTATTTCTATATTCACACAGGTTAAATTATGTTAATAATATTTGCACTATATGTCATATACTCATATTACAATTATTTTTAGTTTTTTAAATTAATTTTTAAATTAAATATATAAATAACATATATAATTAAATAATAAAAATTAAATAATAAAATTAAATATATAACTTGCGTATAGTAAGATAGAGTAATAGTAAAATAGAACTTCACATATTTAATGACTATTATTTGTATTATGATTAAAGTTTGAATAGTACAAACTCTCAAAATTTTATATTAAAATAAAAAAATTTGAAATCATAACTTATATCCAATACTGTAATACAATGATTAATAATAAAGTTTAAATAATAATAATTAAGTTTTATTATATTCTTACCCGAATGAAATAAATTAATATATATATATATATATATATATATATATATATATCAAAATTTCATTAACAAAAATTATTAAATGAAATGATAAATTTTTTATTTGAATATATCAACTATGTGTTTCATCTATAAATACTAATTTTTAATTTACTTTATTTAAATATTATATAAAAAACCATTAACATAATTTATGATATACCTTTACTGATAAAAAATAGTATGTTATAATCGTAAATAATAATAATTCAATACTTTTTAATCTAATAAATTTTAATAGATTAATAGAAATAATAATTCGTTAAGTTTGAAATTTTAGAAAAAGTAATTTAACTGTTATTAATAAATTGAAATTTTAAGCATTACATTTTTATTTCTGAAACTTATATATATTTTATTTATACAATAAAATTATTTAGCATATTAATAAAAATTAAGTATTTGATGTAACAATATTGTTTGGTAATTATAATAATTATAAATAGGATAAATTACATATACGATCACTCATGTTGAGTAAGTTTTTATCTTATTTATAATAAATAGATTATTATAAGTGATGGAAAGTTGATATGACGTGAGATTTGATTTACTTTTTTATCTTATTTTTCTCTTCACTCACCCCTCGCGACGCGACACTTCTTTAAACTCCTCAAAACCTATTTTTTCTCTCTTTAATCTGCCCTTTTCAGTCTCCATGTTCTGTACATGCGCTGCTCATCTAAAGATGTTTTCATGTGTGATTAAGATGCCACAGGCTCTAATGCTTTCCCTCTAAAATTTACGTAGATAAGTAACTTTACTAGTAGGTGGTTCATTCTCCTTTTCATCTTCGTTTTCGTCCCTGAATACTTGAGTTGTAATATCATAATTCAGTTTAACTCGAAGATCGAAAGATTAATGTATTACATGAGATCGTCAGAGTGACTAACTTAATTTTTTTATTTAAAACATGTGAAAATCATCATATAAAATCATCCAATGAAGTTACAAAATAAAAACATAGTATTCGAATTCATAAATATAGGGAGCTCCCAAAATACATCCCAATAATATCATAACGTTTAAAACAAAATAGAGTTACGACTGAATACAAATGGGTCTACAAATAGTACACACCTCCTAAGTATGACTCAAAACGCACTCTAAAGCTTCGGCTGGTATGGGATCTATTGCGACGATAATGCTCCTAGACTGGCCTCCTAAGAACATGCACACGGAAACACATTCCGAACGTTGAGTTCAGTTTCACACTAATAATTGAATTGTATTACATACATTCACTACATGAACATGCTAGTGGCATAGGTATGAACACATAACACTACTGACATGCAAAGTTGAATTAGGCCTCCTAAAAGCTAAATTGGCTCATTTCTCTATAATATAAAGCAATTTTTTAATTATTTTTTAAGCTTCAAATTAAATGATGATTAGTTGAGATTTTTATAATAAATTTCCAATTTATTATTTTTCTTCTACCGTCCTTTTTTAAAATTTATTGTTGTTCTTTTTATTCTTTCGAAAAAAATAACATCGATCGAGTGCAATCTTCTTTATTATAGTATATGAATTTGAAAGCGTTGTGTTAACCTTAAAGGCAATGTTAGTTTCACAATTACATTGATCACGATAGAATAACTTCTAAAATAATATTTTATACCACAAAAATCATCTTCCTTATTCTATTTATTTTTTGGGTAAATTACCCGCTTACTTACCGAACTTTACTCTTTCTCTTATTTCACTCACCATACTTTTAATTTTTTTCAATTTGTTCACTAAACTTTAGACATTGAACTTTTTTGTCACTCGACCGTTAAATTTCTAACGCCGTTAAATTAAATTGAAAATGATGAAAAGTACAGTGAGTGAAATAGAAAAGAGAGTCAAGTTTAGTGAGTAAACATGTGGCATGTTTTATTATTAAAATAAGCCACGTGAGCATGTCGTTACTGAGTAAACAATCAACTAACAAAAAAAGTTTAATGTGTAAAGTTCAGTTAGCAAATTGAAAAAAATTGAAAGTACGTTGAGTGATATAGGAGAGAGAGTAAAGTTCAATGAATAAGCGTGTAATTTACCCTAATTTTTTTTACACATCATTTTTATTTGGTTAGCCATTGCTAATGCCATATCTTGCAACAATTAATTTACCAATAGTGATCATCTAGTCTATAATTTTTGGGTAAAATGATTAGAAGAATGTCTTTCTATATTTAGAGATTAAAAGAATACTCTTACATTAAAGACAGGATTAAGATACCAATTTGAGGAGGTTAAAGTGTAATTTATTTGAAAAAGTTATGATAATTCATAATTATTCCGTAAAATTTTCAAATTTATTATGTAAATCAAAGATGTTCTCTTTCCTATTCAACTTATCATTTCATTATTCATCGATTTTGCCTGAAGTTTGCTTAAAAAAATCAAATTATGCATAATTAAATATCGAGTGCAGGAGTTGCTATCACAGTTTTCATTTCAATGGAGATTGTGTTGCTTTTTTGAAGGAATTTGTGCGGATGCACTCACAAACAATTTTTTTTAATGCTAAAGTAGAGGACATAATTATTTTATTCACTTTTCTGAATGTACAGTACTAAATCTCATACCTTTCTTTCATTACCTAATTCATTTAAACCATACATTGACTGAGGTAAGCTCAATTGTTTTCATGGTATGAATAGATGATGATGGGGTCTGTCTTTTCTCTTTCTTTTTACGTTAAATGTTCTTGCCAAGTTGCCAACCCAAAAAGAAAGTTTTCAGCACACACAACCTTGTTCATGATTAAACTCATGTGGTTCATACGAAGTAATTCTTTTCGGTATTCGACTCATCGATCGATTAATTTAGATCTTTTTCTTTCCCAAAGAATCTCCTTGCTTTGTTGTCGACCACATGTTGCATTGGCCGCACCTGGTTTATGATCAACTGATGCGTCCAATCTTGAAGCTCATATCGCTTGTGTATTCATGATGTCTTTGGAAAAAGGATCAAAAGCCGAATGATTCGAATAGTAAAAACATATTTGGAACTATCATGAAACTGTACTCTAACGACAGAGATACTGAAATCATTCCCATTGTCCATCAAAGTCGATGCTTTTGAAAACAACACACCATCCTCATTTTCCCCTTTGCATTTGAGAGTAGGACCTCCATATCTGCAGTTTGCTTCGGTGCTTTGCTTGCTTGCAAACAAATTCTGCCCTTTGCTTTTTTCTCTTTCAAAACCCAATCTTTGCATCTCTATCCGGTGTTTTAAAACTATTATACTTTCGGAGATAACACTTCGAATATTGTTAGTTCTCTACCGGTCAATACCTTTAGATAGACCTTTCTATCTATCAAAACTTTCAAACGATCCGTTTCTTATGGACACAAGAGTATTATAGCTTCTGATTCGATTACAATGTATGGACAGAACAATACCTCTTTAGTAATCAGATCTATTTAATCTACTAATATATTAGTAATCATAATGACCCTACACCATCAATTAGAGTCAAAACACTCTTTAGTTAGCCACGACAAAGGGGCCCTCCCACTTCCTTCTTTTGGACTACTATATCCCCTCGACCTGCCTTCAACTCTGTCACAGAAAAATATCGGTTATGAACCGTTAACGGTCACCGACCACGACTCTCTATCTAAATGAAAAGGAATGAACCGTTAACAGTCACCGACCACGACTCTCTATCTAAATGAAAAGGAATGAACCGTTAACAGTTAACAAGATAAACTTGTTCCCATCAATAAAAATAATGTCTTCTGTTTTTGTTTTTCTCCTACTTCCATAATTGTACTGTAAATTGACCTTTTCTGTTGCTTTTATTTTAGTGGGAATGACTAATGACAATGCAGTTCTTTGTTAAGTGAATGGTGATCATGGATGCTTTCATGATCTGGTCTTTTCTGTTTAGTAAATTTAAGTATGGAATATCAGTATAGAATTCAGGCAAACACTTTCAAGCACAAAATATGTTAACTATTATGTATAATTGTGGCAAGAACAACAAAGGGAAGCTAGGGGTCCTCGGGTTAGCTGGGGTCAGATCTGCTCCTTGAAATCTGAGGGAGGCCTGGGGCTAAGGAACTTGTTGGATTGGAGCAAAGCCTGTTGTTTATTGCATATAAAAAAAAATTTAGCAGGGGAAGGCTCACTTTGGATTGCTTGGGTTAATGCGTATTGTTTTAGATCTGCTGACTTTTGGAATGTTGATTGCAAGATTCACTTCAGTTGGATTCTAGCCAAATTGCTTAAGCTAAGAAGTGAGGCTCTGAGTCTGTTTTGCTCTAGAAGTTTCTGGGCTCAAATTAAAGTTAGTTGAATATGGGACAACATTCGTAGTAGACTTGGGAAGGTTAGCTGGCATCATCTGGTGTGGTTTCCAGGCTACATTCCTAAATTCTCTCTGATCTCTTGGATGGCAATTTTGGACAGATTGCCTACGAAAGATGGGCTTGCAAAGTTTGGTCTGGCTACGGATAATGCTTGTGGTTTATGTAATTCTGATATTGAATCCCGCAATCACCTCTTTTCTGAGTGTGTATATACAAAGGGTATTTGGCGTGCTGCTCTTCTCTCCTGTGGTCTTGCCCAGGAGCCCCTATGTTGGAGTGACAATCATAGGCTTTTTAAAGGTTTGACTCGTTCGAATGAAATTATTGTAAGTAGTATTAAGGATGTTGTGAGAATTAAATTGTACAAATCTCATAGGAACATACTTGATGCTGTAAATATGCAATTGTGTTCAGCTTGGGGGTTGATATAATTGTATAGGGATTGTACATGAGATATACGTCGTATGCCAACTTGTTTGCTTCTTTTTTCGATGAATGAATATTACTTATCCAAAAAAAGAAACACAGGAAATCTCTTGTTACATATAAAGTTGGGATTTAAAGAAGGAAGAGGGAACATTTTACAGCAGTGCTAACCAAGCTAATCGACAAACTGAAAATAAAAACTGGGAAATGAAAAAAAAAACATTTAAAACACACAGATTACCAACAGATATTATCGAAATATTCAATAATATTCTCATTAACACGATCCAGGTTTAAGAGGACTCCTCCCCAGGTTAGATGGTTTTAGTTCCCCCGTCCTTGGACTGTGTGACTGTGACCCCTTTCCATTGTCACCAGGGCTTCTTTCTCCTCTCAGTTCACTTAGACGTGGGCTATGACAAGAGAGGCGCGGGCTTTGCCAGCTTCTTGGGTCATTTGCCGGTGTAGCGGTCGAGCTTGTGATCTTAGGACTGCAAGTATGCCTGAATTCACCTCGGCTTCTTGTAATAACTTCATCTAATATCTCAGTGTCCCCTGCGTGGGATGCTCCATGTCCCAGCTCTGTCTCCTGCAAGGCAAAGTACAATGATTAATAAAGCAACGGCAAACGAGGAAAGTTTGATTGTAGGAGACGAGTATCTTACTGTGGCAGTATTATATGGCAGAGCACGCGCCTCTTCATACTCCGCCGCGTCCAAATCATAAAGATGTGCACCTTTGAAAAACTTGGGCAGGATATATTGTCTTACTGGAACTAAAAGCATGATCATCAAGGGAAACATGACACCGGCGATCGGAACCCAGGTTAAGCCGAAACATACGAGCAGATAAGTAGTTTGGAAGATGGTAAACATCGCAATTGACTTGAATGGGACAGTCTCCACAAAGGTTGCATGTTGCTGCTCAAGGACTCTACAGGGAATAGAAAGACATCTCTTTGTTTATATAAGATGGACAATGGATACTTCAAATTATAAGTGTAAATCTGTTTTGAGTATCTTACTTGTATCTTCTGTTTGGTGCTGTGAAGAGCAATAAGATCCTTTCCCAAAATTGGTTACCAGGTAAGCTTTCGATAGCCATGAAGGCGAAGTAACCCCAGAGGACCGAAGTTGGGATCATTTTAAGGATTGGCATTGCTGCAACACATCCTCCTACCATGATCGACTGAAGCAAGTTGCTGAGACGCTGCTCTTTTACTTCAACTGGCAATATATCATCGATCTCTTTCTCGATATCAAATAAAGTCTCGTCGATAGGGGCATCGATGTTGCCTGTACATGTAGCAGCTTGAACCGTCGATACTTTTAGTTAATGTAGACCCTGCTCACAACAGTACAGCTGGTGAACTCAAAATCTTATTTTTTACTTCATTTAGTTAATCATGGATGCAATCTTACCCGAGCCGCAGGCTCCTCGTGAACTAAAGGTGTCTGCATTTGCTGATAGGCTTCTTGCATATTTCCATACAATTGTCCCAAGCTAGCATTCTTTCTTATACTGTTGCGCGCTGTAGCAACCAGTCGATTACGAAGCAGCTGCACCATAACCGAAAATCAGTCTCTGTTGCTCATTAAAGAAGACCGAAGAAAAAGGTTTAAAAAATTTTCAATTTTGCCTATTCCGAGGGCTTAAAGAAGAACTGTACTCTATTCCGAGGGCTTAAAGAAGAACTGTACTTGATGTTTTAGAGTAGCCAAGCTCTTGGTATGCATTGGAGATTGTGGAATGACCCCATTTGCAGGAGGGATGCCAATTAGACCGCATAACAATGTCTGCCACCAAGAAACAAGCAAGTAAACGAAGTGTTTGAAGGGCAAATTTTAGATTAAGAAAAGTTAATGGGAAGAACTGCTTACCAAGAACCCCAAAAGAAGTAAGTCATAATGGTAACAAGATGGCTTTCTCAGATTGAACTCTTTCTGCTGCGCAAGTTGAGATGCTACACTATGGTCAAAGTAATAGAGAACTGCAATCATCGTGGCCGGAATGAAGGCTCCGATAATATAGACAACGGGAACATTTAGCATGTCCTGTCATTTTTTATTCAAGTTCTTTGTGTTAGTTCATTAGTCTTGTAAGAAGACAGATTGGCAATTGCACTAGGTTAAACGTGCCTTGATAACTGTCCAATTTGTATAAGCACCAGGGGACCATGGATTCGGGCTGAAGAGACGACGTGGGACTCCTTTCGGAACACTTCCGGAAGGTATGTAAGACACAGCTGTCCACACAAGTACCATAAGCGGCACACCATAGTCTGCTATAAAGCTTCTAAGCCAACCTGTCAAAACCAAAAGCTTCTTTTAAGCTCTCAAAAGCAAATGATGCCATATTTAAGAAAGCAAAAGGCGGTCGAGGAGAATTAACTTACCTGTTCCGTAGCGCCATGACCGTGCTTTTCGGCTTCTTAACCCGGAGAAAAGAAGGCCAAATGACAAGACCAAAGCAAACATCCCATTGGCAAACCTCCATGAAGGTAAAAATTCTGTCAATTTGGGGTTTTCATGTCGCGGAATGCGGAACTCTTCCACGATACCCTGTATATGAGATTTGTTACAAATAAAAACAACTTTAATCTGGTGTGATTTGGAGTAGAAAATCATCAGCAGATGATGAAAAATGTTCTTACTTTGATAGCTTGCTGCATAAACAACATAGCTATAAGCAGACCAAACAGTTCGCCCGCCACACGGGTAAACCTGTTGATAATGGAACAAGCCCCCAAGATAGACAGTAAGAACAGCAAGCCTGCAGTCCACACACATACCCTACAAAAAAAAAAACCAACTTTTGTCAAATATAGCAGCAAATGCATAAAACATATGATTGAAGAATCTTCTTGTTGGAGTGCAGACAAATATGTCAACATGGTATGGCTAATTATTGAAGAAATGAAAAGTTGAGTTTGCAGCTCACCATCCAGTCCATGCCAGAAACAGGTCTCGACCCAAATCTGGTATGTCTTTAGCAAAGTTGAACATAAATGTATACATAATGACAGTTGGCTCGGCAACTCCTAATATCAGCAAAGGTTGACCTCCGATTATCGAGTGTATGATCCCGCAAGCGCCTTCGATGCCAAGGTTTGAACTGCGGTGAGAACTCCATCTGCAGATTGCAAAAAGATATGAATTCACATGCAACAAAAGTGGAGATTTAAGATTATTCTTGTTGGTAGAATACCAGTATTTCTCTCAAGTTGTTCACCAAATGAAATGACGGGAATCGCAGAAGCAAAGAAAATGTAAGTGGTGGGAGCCAGAATCCTGTAATGGAAAACACAGTTTGAGCCGTCATCCTCAAAATGCAAGGCGAATATTATATTTATGTATATGTACCTGAAGCCTGCTTTAAAACCACCAGTCCAATCTTGCTTGTAACACATTAATCTGCCTCTCAAGTCATTCTTGATGCCTCGTAAAGGCACAAAGGTCTCCTCCATGGTTAGTTTTA